CTCCCCCACCCCCACCCCACACATGAGTGTGAGTAGGCGTAGAGAGAGAGGGAGACAGAAACCCAAGCCAACTAACTCCACTGTCAGCACAGAGGCCAGATCAGGGCTTGAACTCACAAACTGTGAGATCATGACCTGAGCCAAAATAAAGAGTCAGATACTTAATGACTGAGCCATCCTGGTGCCCACTATATCCTACTTACTCTTTAGGCCAAGCTTAGATTCTACATTTCCCTGATGTAGATACCTTCTTATTTTGATTCTCCCCCGCGCAACCCCCCTGCTTTGGACTTTAGCATTCATTTTGTCATTTAATTGATTATACTGCCTCATATGTTACTTGGGTGCTATTAACTCCTTTTCATCTTTTAAGTCAGCTTAAGAGTCACCTTCTCACATTAAAAAATTAATAAAAAAAATTTAAAAAGGGCAGTTGGGTGGCTCAGTTGGTTGAGCATCTGACTTCAGCTAAGGTCATGATCTCACCGTTCCTGGGTTTGAGGCCTATATAGGGGTCGGCACAAAGCCCACTTCAGATCCTCTGTCCCCACCCCACCCCTCCTCCAGTTGCACATGCTGTCTCTCAAAAACAAATAAACCTTAAAAAAAAAGTCATCGTCTCAAGTCCTTCTTTAACTTACCCTATTAAAGTAGTTCTTTCCCCATAGATAGTGTCTCTGTCTCTCGCCTACCTGTTTATTGCCTTTATATGGAATTATCACAACTGCCATTATTTTGTTTTATAGAATATAACTATGTAAGAGTAGGAACTGTACCTGTCCTGTTCACTAGTGTATCCACAGTACATGGAACAATAGTGGCTGTAACATAGAAAGGTGTTTAATAAATGTTTTTCAATTGAATTTTTCCCTAAATAAATTGTTAAATTCTTGAATGTCAGGACCTGTGTCTGTGGCCAGATTCTCTGCTGTGCCCACACGGTAGACCCTTATATTGGGAATATGAATTTTTCATGAAGGAGAACAAGGGACTAGGCCTGAAGCAAGTTGAAGCAATATTTCCGAAACTGGATGCCAAGCTGTTTCTACTATAGGGGTACAGACAGTGGCAGTGAATGCCAGAGACACATCTTTGGTAAGCCTGTTCCAGGCTCGGCTGTCCCACAGGTGAGAGATTTTCAGAACATTCCCCTGACCTTTAGCCACTTGGCAGTCCCAGTGTAGTCTTTTCCTCCTAGCAATTTCTCTGTCTCCTTGTGTACAGGGCACTTGAGGCCTGGAGAGTAGTAAAAGGCAGAACTGAAGAGTAGAAGAAGGGTGAAGAAATGAAAGATGGATGGTTGCCAGAAGTAAATTTTGTCAGGCTTAGTATTTTTCTTGGGGTGAGTTTTGGAACCATGGAAGTTTAATAGGAATATCATGTTTGTGTGACTTCACAGGTGATAGTAGGGAATTATTTTTTAAAAAACCAGTATACATAGTATGGTATCAGTTTATTTATTTGGGAAAGAGGGACAGAGTGAGTGAGGGAGGGAGGGGCAGAGAGAGAGGGAGAGAGGGAGAGAGAATCCCAAGCAGCCTCTGCACTGTCAGCGCAGAGCCCAAATCAGGGCTCAAACTCACAAACTATGAGGTCATGACCTGAGCTGAAATAAAGAGTCAGACACTTAACGACTGAGCCACCGAGGTACCACCCCCCTCTCATTTATTTAGGTTATAAAAGAGAGAATCTACCAGGGGCACCTGGCTAGCTCAGTTGGGAGAGTATGTGACTCTTGATCTCAGGGTCATGAGTTCAAGACCCACGTTGGGCATGGATCCTACTTAAAAAATAATGAATAAATGTGGGGCACCTGGGTGGCTCAGTCGGTTGGGCATCCCTTTGGCTTGTGTCATTATCTCACCGTTCGTAGGTTTGAGCCCTGCATCAGGCTCTGTGCTGATAGCTCAGAGCCTGGAGCCTACTTCAGATTCTGTGTCCCGAACCATGAGATCATGACCTGAGCCGAAGTCAGACTCTCAACTGACTGAGCCATCCAGGTGTCCTAAGAAGGGATTATTAGAATATATATTTGTATTCACTTGTACTGTATAAGAAATACTGGAAGGAGACACAAATAACTAATAAAAGGGTTGCTGGTAGAAGCAAAGTAGTGGGTAGCAAAGTAGATAGGAATGAGGTAGATATGAGGCTTCTTACTATATACCTTGTTATACAGATTTAATTTGAACCATATGTATTTATTACCTATTCAAAGCAAAAAAATTTAAAAATGTTTTTTGTATGTGTATCACTAAGAATATTGCTTTCTTTTGTAGAATCAATAGATTCCAAGTTTTGCTCATATTTACTGTTTTACCAAATTTCTGTTCTTTTTAAAGTTTTTTAGGGCCACTTAAGTGGCTCAGTTGGTTAAGAGTCCGACTCTTGATTTTGGCTCAGTTCGTGATCTCATAGACTGAGCCCCACGTCCAGCTCCAGGCTAGGTGTGCAGCCTGCTTAGGATTCTCTCTCTCTGACCCTCTTCTGCTCATGCCTTCGTGCACTCTCTCTCTCAAAATAAACATTTTTTAAAAAATAAAGTTTTTTAAAGGTCATTAGAGATAGACTCTGAGTTGATATCTTCTAAACATGGCCCCTGAAGATTGATTTATAAACGAGATTGTTTCTTTTTTTTATGTTAATATTTTGGCAATTTGCAAAGCTCAGCTTTGTTTGTGTTTTTTTTTTTTTATATATATATGAAATTTATGGTCAAATTGGTTTCCGTACAACACCCAGTGCTCATCCCAACAGGTGCCCTCCTCAATGACCATCACCCACTTTCCCCTCCCTCCCACCTCCCATCAACCCTCAGTTTATTCTCAGTTTTTAAGAGTCTCTTCTGGTTTGGCTCCCTCCCTCTCTCACCTTTTTTTTTTCCTTCCCTTAGCCTCCCCCAGGGTCTTCTGTTAAGTTTCTCAGGATCCACATAAGAGTGAAAACATATGGTATTTGTCTTTCTCTGTATGCCTTATTTCACTTAGCATAACACTCTCCAGTTCCATTCATGTTGCTACAAAAGGCCATATTTCATTCATTCTCATTGCCAAGTAGTATTCCGTTGTATATATAAACCACAATTTCTTTATCCATTCATCAGTTGAGGGACATTTAGGCTTTTTCCATAATTTGGCTATTGTTGAAAGTGCTGCTATAAACATTCAGGATACTTGTATTGGTTGTTCAGCTTATTCTCTTCCAGTAAGGAAATCTACCCAGAAAACCAGCAATTAAAACATTGTTTGATTATAGATTTAGATTGAAGAGAATTGGATCATCTTAATTATGTAGTTTGTGTCTTTTTTCATGATAGGGTTGTACTTGCCCATCATTATAATGAGATCAGCCTTCCATAGTACCTTCTCTGATCCATGCAGGAGTATACTAACAAATTCTTAAGTTCTCTGATTCTCCTTGGAATCGGTGAATGGGTTAGATTAGATGATGCCAGAGGTCTTGGCAAGGACTAAAATTCTAAGAATCTGATCAGTTTGACAGTTCTTGTTCTCTTTATAATGAATTAACTGACATTCTTATATGTAAATCAGTACCTTTGTCATTTTGATTAGTGTGAATCAATTCACCTAAATGGCTTTTGAAAACCCATCAAAGTCTGTGTAACAGCTTTGGTAACTACAGAATTACTTTCCTTTAACCATCTCATAGTTTCTGATTAAAGTTGAAATGGAGTTTAAGATCATTGTCAAATACCTAAAAATAAACTGCTGAAGCCAAAATATATAGGGAATATGACCACAGAAACCAATTCTGGACTTTCAGACTAATCTTATTATCTGTCATGTTTCTTAATATCTGTCATGTTAGTCTAAACCTGCCATAAGGCTGACCTTTGTAAACCAGCATTTATTTAAGCGAGAATTGCATTGGTGTGTTTACCCTTGAATTTTCCCTCAGCAATCAAAGTTCCCCTGGTGTAGTAGAGGTCTAAGTAAGGCTTTGTTTTGCGTCTTGAATTTCTAATTATTAGATCATTATAACTTTTGTGGCACTTCAGTAATATCAGTTATATTTTTTTCCATGTTTGGTGCTAATGCAGCCGAGAACGAACTAGGTCATCCAACTGGAAGGTTACGTATTATCACTGTTTTAATAATGCTTAATGAGTGTGAATGCAGGAAATATTTCCAGATATTTGTAAACTTGACAGTTTTTATAAAGTGTGATAAATGTGCAGTGTGATTTCTTTAAATTTTCTGTTTTCAATAGAATAGTCTTACCACTTTCCTTCTAGTTCAATCATGTTTGAAATTAAGAAGATTTGTTGCATTGGTGCGGGCTATGTTGGAGGACCTACATGTAGTGTCATTGCTCATATGTGCCCTGAAATCAGAGTAACGGTTGTTGATGTCAATGAATCAAGAATCAATGCATGGAACTCTCCTACTCTCCCTATTTATGAGGTAAAACCATACTAAACAACTCTTTGTTCTTATGTTCTTTGTTTTCTTACTGTTTTTGTTAAATAAATTACTATTAATGTAGAAATCTATGACTACAGCTGATAAGAAACTAAGTGAGAAATCTAGGTCCACAGTGTTGTGGACATTACAATTATAGTTATGTCAAGTATGCCCAGGGAAAATGGGAGGAAATATATTAGAATATTAATAATGGTTGTATTAGTGCAATGAGAATGTGGGTAATTTTTTTCTCTCGTCTTTTTTCTCATTTTGTCTGTTAATATGGTTACCATATTGTAAATAGTAAAATTTTAAAAGGGTATTCTATAAAATTAAAATGGTAGAACTGTGGATGTTTATAATACTAATTCATGTAAGTCTATTATATTTGGGCGTTATTGTACTTAGGTAAACCGTGGGTGGATAAATGATGTCTTTTATATCTAGTACCTAGTATCACAAATTTGTTTAATTGAAATTTCAAAACTTCTGTGAATTTAGATAGTGTATAGTTAGGAAAATATGCTTCTATTTTATTAAGCTATGTGGATCCCATTTTTTAAAATTTCACTGTAAAATGAGTTCATGAATATTATGCTTTTGAAACCCAGCAGAGAAGCATTTGAGAATTTGATGGTAGCATTTTCTTCCCAACATTAATATATTCTCCTTTTTTCCTTCAGGAAAACTTTGTTATTTGTAAGATTGTAATCAACCGTAGTCTTTAAATGTATTAGTCCTTTGGAAGGGAAGTCTCAACCAGGTTTATAGGCATATGAAATATAGAAATCCATGAAAAAGCACCCACAGAATAGTAGCTACCCAACATCATGGATTTAATCCTATCGGAATCACACTTAGAACAAAAAAGCAAACCTCTGAATTGTGCCTTCTGTTTGTACTTTACCCTTTCTTTTTCTATCGAATGAACTACCCATAATAGTTCTATAAATACTTTAGTGCTGTAGCATTTCTTTCCCTGTTATGACATTACTACTATATTTGGCTTTGGAGAATTTTAAAAAACATTTTGGAAACATAAGAGTTTTAGAATTCTGATAACCATAAAAGGGCCACAAATCATTTGAAACCCATATTTGTACCCAATCATTCAGTAATCAGTTCTGCCAGCAGCGTACTCTAGTTTTCAGAAACAAAGGGCGCCCATCAGAATGGCTAAAATTACTACTACTGACAATACTAAGAGTCAACAAGGATTTAGAGCAATTGGACGTTTATGCATTGCTGGTCAGAATGTAGACTGGTATAGCCACTTTCAAAACTGCTTGGCAGTATTTACTAAAGCTGAAAATATGCAGAGTCTGACCCAGCAAATCCACTTGTTGGTGTATATCCAATAGAAATGTGTACATATGTGTGGCCAAAAGACAGATATTAACAGTGCTATTCATAATAGCCCCAAATGGGAAGCAGCCTAAATGTTAATCAGTGTTGGAATGGATACACAAATTATAGCATAATCCTGCAATAAAATACTATACTGCACTGAAAATCAATGAAACTACTCCTACATGCAGGAATATGGTTTGAGGTACCTGGCTGGCCCAGTCAGTTAAGCATCCGACTCTTGGTTTTGGCTTGGGTCGTTGTCTCCCGGTTTGTGAGATCGAGCCCTGCACTGGGCTCTGTGCTGCCAGTGCAGAGCCTGCTTGGGATTCTCTCTCCCATCTCTCTCTGACCCTGTCTCACTCACACGTGCTCTCTCCCTCTCTCTCAAAATAAATAAACTTTAAAAAATTTAAGAAAGGATATGGTTAACTTCTCCCAAAGTGTTGTGTTGCCAGACACAGAGTAGTACATACTGTATAATTTCATTTGCATAAAATTTAAATATAAGCAAATTAATCTCTGATTATAGAATTCAGCATGATTATAATTTGAGCAGTGGTAGTGACTAGAAGAGGGCACAGGTATACTGCAGGTTCTGATTTACAGTTAATGTTATAATTCTCATTATAAATAATGGTTACACAAGTGTGTTCAGTTGTGAAAATTGAGCTATATACTTTTCTATACTAATATATATGCATTTTTATGTATTTTGTTTTACTTCAATACAAATTTTATTTAAAAACAAAAAAAAAGGTATCCTGAATTAGAAAAAATATAAGCTATCTATAATGTATTGGAATTTGACATTTTTCTTGGAGAAAACAAAAAAATCAGCTGGCCAGGCATATTTCATGGCCAGATTCTTATTGTAGATGTTACTATTTATATTAATTGAAATCTGAAACTCTTCTTCCTAAGACTTCAGTGCTTGAAATTTAAAATAGGGGCACTTGACTGGCTCAGTTGGTAGAGCATCTGACTTCTCATCTTGAGGTCAGGAGTTCGAGCCCCATGTTGAGCATAAGCCTTCTTAAAAAAAAAAAAAGTATGTTGTACATTGACACTGAATCTAGTTGGGCTATATAGTTAGATTGAGAGAGTTAAGATCTAAAATTATTTCTTTTCCATATCATACTTGTTTTTTCTCAATAACCTTTTATAAACAAAGAAACAAGCATTTATTATTTTTGTGCTTTTATTTTGTAGATAGTGTTTCTTCTTTAAATCTCTTTAAAAAGAATATAAAGGATTTGAAAGTCTAGCTAGAGGTGCTCATTAGAAACTCATTAGAAGCAATGTCTGAGTTCTCAAAACCTTGAAATCTCATAATTGTATTGGCTTAAGTTTTATTTTTATGTCATTTTCTAAAAAATCCATTTATTTATTTTGAGAGAAAGAGAGCATGCATGTGCGTGGGGGAGGGATAGACAGAGAGGGAGAGAGAGATTCCTAAGCAGGCTCCGTGCTGTCAGTGCAGAGCCCCACACCGGGCTCGATCTCACAAACTGTGAGATCATGACCTGAGCTGAAACCAAGAATCAGACGCTTAACCAACTGAGCTACCCAGGTGCCTTTTTTATGTCATTTTAATATGTCTATTCCAGAAAATTAGATGATACCATAAGCAGCTATTTTAGTTCTGTGCTATTTAGTGTAGCCTACAAAAGAAATGAAATCTTTTTCCGAAATCCACTAGTTTTGGAGGTTAAAAACATGACACTGCTACTTTAAAATTCTAGAAGGAATTGTCTCAGCAAGTAGAATGATTTTCCTCTTAGCAAGTGAATGACTTCAGGCTTTCTTAGACATCAGTTAAAAGATGCTCACTTAAGGAATTTATAAATCAGAAAATAAAGGTGATTTCTATAAGTTGTGTTTAAAAAAAAGCAACAACAACTTGGGGAATGAATTGTGTGACCCAATTTTCCATTTTCAAAGATATATTAGGCCTTTGTTCTGTTTTTATTTCTTTATTTTATGTTGTAAAATTATGTATTCCTATACATTTTCTTGGCCATATTGGAGATGTAAAATGTTACGTGAAATGTCAAACAGGAAGAATTATAAAAGAAGAAAAAACAAATGGCGGGTTTAACTGGAATTCACAATGCTCTCTGAATTGCTTTATTGAGTAGCTTATATTTGTTGTTACTAGTTGTAACTAGTTATACTTACCTACCTTGGACAAGGCAAAAGAATACTTTTATGTCCAGAGCAGCCTTGAACACCTTTGTAATCACCTTGCTGTTGTAAATCTGTATCCTATAATGCATTTAAAAACCAATGACCAAATAAATACTTGTTTTCAAGGATAATTATAAAAATCTGTGGCATTGATTTTTCATTGTAAATACTATGTTTTCAGGTCAGAAGTCTCTAATTGTGACTAATGTTTAACTCATGGTCACTGATAGAGAAATACTACAATATGTAATTATAGCATTTAATATGCCCCTTTGAGTACCCAGTCTCCTTGAGAGTTGTTCTGCCATCACTCCATCTACTCTGAGACTAACTAATTAGAGAAATATTTAGAAGGAAAAATGATAGGACTTGATTGTTGATCATAAAAGAAGGATGAAGGGGACACGTGGGTGGCTCAGTTGGTTAAGGTCTGACTCTTGATTTCAGCTCAGATCATGATCTCACGGTTTATGGGGTTGGCATGGAGCCTGCTTGGGATTCTCTCCCTCTCTCTCTCCTCTCTCTCTCTCTCTCTCTCTCTCTGCTACCCCCCCCCCCAAATAAATAAGCCTTAAAAATACTTTCTTAAAGAAAGGTGAAGGAGAGGAAGGAATCAAGAATAATATCCAGGTTTCCAATTTGGATGACAGGTGCATGATTGTGCTACTAATTGAGTTCAAGAATGCAGGATGTTGTGGAGGATAGTGGGAGATAAAATGGCAAGTTTTGTTTTGTCCTACTTAGTTATAGAGGCTTTGGGAAATCCAAGTAGAGATGTTCAGGAGGCAGTTGAATATGTATCCGAAGTTTAGGCAAATGATTCAGGGCTGGAAGTGTAAAGTTAGGAATGTACAGGTAGTAGTTGAAATCAGAGTAATTGAACTCTCCCAAGAAGAGTCTGTAGAGAGAACAGAGCATTAGTCAAGGACAGAACCCAGGAAAACGCTAATGTTTGATGGTAGGTGGAGAAGGAAATGCCATAGGGAAGCAATGAAGAGTAGTTCGAAGGTGAACCAAAATCAGAAGAGTTTTAGTAGTGCAAGCCCCTATAAAGATGTACAGTTGACCCTGTGGGGGTGTGGGGCGTTGACCCTATTTTGTATACTGCATTCTTAAAGTAAACTACAGAAAAGAAAGTGTTATTAAGAAAACCATAAAAGGGGCACGTGGGTGGCTCATTCGGTTAAATGTCTGACTCTTGGGCTCAGCATGACATGATCTCATGTCATGATCTCATGGTTCCTGTGTTCAGTCCCTGTGTTGGGCTCTGCGCTGACAAATGTGGAGCCTGCTTGGGATTCTCTGTCTTTCTCTCTGTGCCTCCCCTGCTCACTCTCTCTCTCAAAATAAATAAATAAATATTTAAAAAAATCATAAGAGGAAATACATTGACAATATGGTACTATATTCATTGAAAAAAAATTCACATATAAGCAGACCGGTGCAGTTCAAATCTGTGTTGTAATGTAATTCTATACACTTAGGTTATCTCATATGACTGGTAAACTGTGTGTACAACTCCTTCTTTTTTCTTTTTAGCCAGGACTAAAAGAAGTGGTAGAATCCTGCCGAGGAAAAAATCTATTTTTTTCTACCGATATTGATGATGCCATTAAAGAAGCTGATCTTGTATTTATTTCTGTAAGTATTTTCGTTTGCTGTGTGAGGTTTTTTAAAAATTTCTTTTTAATGTTTATTTATTTTTGAGAGAGAGAGAGAGAGAGACAGAGTGTGAGTGGGGAAGGGGCAGAGAGAGAGACACACACAGAATCTGAAGCAGGCTCCAGGCTCTGAGCTGTCTGCACAGAGCCCAACGTGGGCTCAAACCCCACAAGCCATGAGATCATAACCTGAGCCAAAGTGGGACACTGAACCGACTGAGCCACCCAGACGCCCCTTGCTATGTGAGTTTTAATGCATTATTGTCTACATAGAAGTTTTATTGTGTTTTAATAGTAATCCATTGGTATTAATCCACATCATTGCTTAGTATAGAGTCCAGTTGAATTTAGGTTGTCATTTTGTCCAACACTTCACCATACCCCATAATCATCTGGTCAAATGCATCACTTCCAATCACTGAACAAATAATTGGAGAAAGTTCTAGTCTGGGATCTAGAGTTAGGAAGTGTTGGTAACGTATGAGCCCATGTGGTAATAGTGTATGTGTGTCATCATTTCTTGTTTGAACCACTGCTTGGTAGAGGTGAGGTAAAGAGAACCAGGTAAAGTGTGTGTGCAAACTTATGGGACTCTCCTTTCTAGATGACTTATAATTGTTCCAGAAGTCATTTTATTATTCTTTTTTTATTTTAAAGAGAGAGAGAATGTGTGCATTTAAGTTTATATTTATTTATTTTGAGAACGAAAAAGAGCACACAAGCGTGCGCTGGGGAGGGGCAGAGAGAGGAGAAAGAATCCCAGTCAGGCTCCATGCTAATCAGTGCAGAGTCCAATTAGTGCAGGGCTTGATTCACGAACAGTAAGATCTTGACATGAGCCAAAATCAAGAGTTGGATGCTTAACCGACTGAGCCACCCAGGTCCCCCTAAGATTTTATTTTTAAGTAATCTCTATACCCAGTGTGGGGCTTGAACTTAACAACCCTGAGATCAGGAGTTGCATGCTCTACCAATTGAGCCAGCCATGCACCCTACCAGAAGTCATTTTTAATTAACTTTTTGGAATTTGGCTTGGGTTGGTTAGGTTACAGGCTAGTCCACAGGTATCTTAGCTCATGATACGACTAGCCTGTTGTACCTTTGTAATGAAAAAAATAGAATCAATGCTTAGGAGTAAACTCCGGTAATGTAATATTTGAACCAAGTATTTTACTTCTTGCTGTCCTGGTAGCCATTTACTCAAATATTCTGTGGCTGATGGTATAGTAATCACCAATTTGTGGCTGAGCTAGGGTGTTATATGACTCAAGACCTTTAGGGCCTTAGAGAAAAAAGGGAAAGCTTACAGTGTTGTAAGCTTTGACTGAGCTCCATGAACTAAGGGAAAGAAATATCATGGGGTCCATAGAGGGTAGATGTTGTTGAATTGATTATGCATATTGTTAATGATTATAAGTTGTTGAATTAAGAGTTTTCTGACTGATGAGACAAAAGAAATACTATTAAGATATGTTAACTCCAGAAGAAAGTAGTAATGAAGCCGGTGGTAAAACTGTTACGAATTAAATCTCTCTTTTGGCATTAATTACTTCAGAGAAATTGGTGTCACCTTTTGTGACTTGCCTACCTATCTACTACTTAAGCTTACAGAAGGTTAGGGTAGAGGCATAGAAAATGAGAAAAGATTTTGGAGTAGCTAGGTACTTGGATAAAATTAAGAAGTTATCCTTGGGGCACCTGGGTGGCTAGTCAGTTAAGTATCCGACTTCAGCTCAAGTCATGATCTCATGGTTAGTGAGTTTGAGCCCTGTGTTGGGCTCTGTGCTGACAGCTCAGAGCCTGGGTCCTGCTTCAGATTCTGTGTCTCCCTCTCTCTCTTCCCCTCCCCTGCTCCCTCCTTCCCTCTCTCTCAAATAAATAAACATTAAAAAAATCTTTTTAAAAAAGAAGTTATGTTAGTCCAACTTTAGGATAACTAGAGCCTCGAGTGAGAGTAGGGGAATTTTCTGTAAAAAATATTCATAAAGAATATTCTCAAGCAATAGAATCCAGGGGGTAGTCTGGCCAGATAGCTAATTTATACTTGCCTCTGCAGATCTAGCCTGAGCTGTCCTGAATCTTTGCAAGCTGTTACTGTATATACCTGTTATGGTAATTTATTACTGTATAACTCACATTGAGTTCCCATCATTCTCTGGATCAGCTTTTAAAAATTTATTTGTTGTATACTTTTCATTGTAGAAAATATCAAATTTATACAAAAGATGAAGACAATAATATTATGAACCCCTATTTACCCTTTGCCCATTGTCAGCAGTTACCATGGCTGATCTTGTTTTGTTTGCTACTTCTCTCCTTTGCCTCCTACCCCACGTTATTTTTAGACAGATTCCAGGTAGGAATAGTTTCATATGAATCAGTTTTCAGTTGTCATCTCCAGAGCACCTTGCCAGGGAAAGCTGTTTGATCTTCTCTCATCTTTAGCATGTTCCATCTTATCCTGTTAGCTGTCTTGGCTCTTCCGTACTCTGGTGCACCCTGACTTCCACGTCTCAGGCTTTTCCTAAGTCATTCCATGCATATAAACAACTTTCGTTCTCCTGCTTTTCACACCTCCACGCAACTTTCAAGTTTTTATTTGTTTTGGTTTGCTTCCTTTATTTAGTCTCCCATTAGGTTATAAGCTTGTCAAGAGAAAAGAATTGGTATACTTACTACTGGTTCAAAAACTATGCCTATATAGAATTTTAGCCTTTTCAGAGTGCTTTGATTTTTACCAAAGTATTATAAAAACCCACTTGCTGGATTTTAGAGAGAGCATAGTATCTTCATTTTCCAATGAGGTAATTGAAGCAAAGGCAGCTACTTGTCTCTAAGGTTACATGGTATAGCTAAGTCAAAAGTAAATGCCTAGACTCCAGTCACATGGTTTATTTTTCTTTCTATTTGATAGACTTTATTTACATAGTATTGGAAATCCTAAAGATGCTAGATAATGTCTAGCTTTAATGAGCCAAGAAAACATTTGTGAATGATATTGCAAATATTTGTAAAAAGCTATGGATATAGGTTTATAAACAAGGAGGATAGAAAAGGAACTTAAAATTTGGTTTTGGGGCACCTGGGTGGCTTAGTTGGTTGAGCAACCAATTCTTGATTTCAGTTCAGATCATGATCTTGCAGTTCGTGGCTTCTGCCGCAAGTCAGGCTCTATGCTGGCAATGTGGGGCCTGCTTGGGAATCTCTCTCTCCTTCTGCCACTCCCCTGCTTGTGCTCTCTCTCTGTGAAAATGAATGAATAAACTTAAAAATTTTTTTTAATTAAAAATAAAATTTGGTTTAAAAGACTAGGAAAATGGTATCCAAAATCTATAAAGAGCTTATCAAACTCAACACCCAAAAAACAAATAATCCAGTGAAGAAATGGGCAAAAGACATGAATAAGCACTTTTCTAAAGAAGACATTCAGATGGCTAACAGGCACATGAAAAAATTTTCAAAATTACTCATCATCAGGGAAATACATATTAAAACCACGGTGAGATACCACCACCTCACACCTGTCAGAATGGCTAAAATTAACAGGCAACAACAGATGTTGGCAAGGATGCAGAGAGAGAGGAACCCTTTTGCACTGCTGGTGTGAATGCAAACTGGTACAGCCACTCTGGAAAACAGTATGGAGGTTCCTCAAAAAACTAAAAATAGAACTACCCTGTGACCCAGCAATTGCACTATTGGGTATTTATACAAAGGATACAGGAGTGCTGTTTCAAAGGGGCATATGCACCCCAATGTTTATAGCAGCACTATCAACAATAGCCAAAGTATGGAAGGAGCCCAAATGTCTATCGATGGATGAATGGATAAAGAAGATGTGGTATATATATACAATGGAATATTACTCAGCAATAAAAAAGAATGAAATCTTGTCATTTGCAACTATGTGGATGGAACTAGAGTGTATTATGCTAAGCGAAAGGAGTCAGAGAAAGACAAATATCATATGACTTCACTCATATGTGGAATTTAAGATACAAAACAGATGAACGTAAGGGAAGGGAAGCAAAAATAATATAAAAACAGGGAGGGGAACAAAACATAAGAGACTTAAATACAGAGAACAAACTGAGGGTTGCTGGAAGGTTGTTGGGGGGGAGATGGGCTAAACGGGCAAGGGACATTGAGGAGGATATTTGTTGGGATAAGAACTGGGTATTGTATGTACATGATGAATCACTAAATTCTATTCCTGAAATCATTATTACACTATATGTTAACTAACTTGGATGTAAATTATAAAAATAAATAATAAAATTTTTTAAATTAAAAAACAAAGACCAGGATAATAGTGGTTTCTAGTGGCTCAGTCGGTTGGGCGTCTGACTTCAGCTCTGGTCATGATCTCATAGTTTGTGAGTTCAAGCCCCACAGTCAGGCTCTCTGCTGGGCAGCACAGAGCCTGCTTGAGATCCTCTGTCTCCCTCTGTCTCTGCCCCTCCCCAACTTGCGTGCTCTTTCTCTCTCTGTCTCTCTCAAAAATAAATTTAAAACAAAGCATTAAAAAACAAAATAAAATAAAATAAAATAAAATAAAATAAAATAAAATAAAATAAAATAAAATAAAGACCAGGGTAATAATTTATTACATACAATAAAGAGAGGAAAGAAAACTTATATTTCATTTCAGACTGGGAACTCCTTTATGACAAGAACAGTCTCATTCATCTTTATATCTCCAGAGCTTAGCTTGCAACCTGCCTTCCCTGATATCTGTCACTATATAGTAGCTTCTCAACAAAAATTTATTGAATGAGTTGATGCTTCAGGCTGTTCTGTCTGGTGATTATGTTTATAAAATGTATTATTTCTATGGAATTAATAGAGGGTTAAATTAAAGCTAATGATGATAGTTAACTTCGCATTTAACTAGTTAATTGATGATTCAGGGTTTATCTTGAAATCAGTGAATATCTCACAGATACTTTGTTCTTAATCCCATATGCTTTCATCAGGTGAACACTCCAACCAAAACCTATGGAATGGGGAAAGGCCGTGCGGCAGATCTGAAGTATATTGAGGCTTGTGCCAGACGCATTGTGCAAAACTCACATGGGTACAAAATTGTGACTGAGAAAAGCACAGTTCCAGTGAGGGCAGCAGAAAGTATTCGTCGAATATTTGATGCAAACACAAAACCCAACTTGAATTTACAGGTATAAAAAAAGGAAGCGTTAGAACCTGATACTATGCAAATATTGCTGCTTATAGTTGCCCATGGTTAATTCTAGGCTTACAACTTTGTTTTGCATTGGGATTCTAGGTACTGTCCAACCCTGAGTTCTTGGCGGAAGGAACAGCCATCAAGGACCTGAAGAACCCAGACAGAGTACTGATTGGAGGGGATGAAACGCCAGAGGGCCAGAGAGCTGTGCAGGCACTGTGTGCTGTGTATGAGCACTGGGTTCCCAGAGAAAAGATCCTCACCACTAATACTTGGTCTTCAGAACTTTCCAAACTGGTTGGTATAGAGCATTCAACTCTCCATTTAATTTAAAGCCAAGGACTTATTTCTCTTAAGCCTGATAAGCCACACAGGTACTTTCTTAATATTAAATAAAAGGTATGCTTTTGAAGACAATATTCTTGTCCATTATGAAATAATTTTCACAAGGGAAATCAAATATTGGGGTACAAAATATTTTGGAAAGTGCTACATTTTAATAAAATGTAACATAAAATGAAGGGTTCATTAAAACTGTAGTCCTAAAAATCACTCTTTCCCTTTTTTACTCCCGTTCTTAATCATCTTTCTTCTCGAATTTAAAACATTTTCTTTTACCAACCCATTCATAGCCTCCTCAAATTGAGGCCATCAGTAACTTTTATATCTCCCTCAGTAATTTGTATCAACTCAGTGAAATATAATCCAGACATTTAAAATTGCCATTTTAACTCGTTGTACTTTTCCTTTTTTTCCCCCCCGAAGGCAGCAAATGCTTTTCTTGCCCAGAGGATCAGCAGTATTAACTCTATAAGTGCCCTCTGTGAAGCAACAGGGGCTGATGTAGAAGAGGTGGCAACAGCCATTGGAATGGACCAGAGAATTGGAAATAAGTTTCTGAAAGCCAGTGTTGGTAAATTGAAAATTTTCTGTACATAAAATAGATTCATTTAGCTGGGTCTCTAACTTTAAGGAAGTCTTTTTTTTTTTTTTAAATATTTATTTATTTTTGAGAGAGAGAGAGAGAGAGAATGTGGGGAGGGGTAGAGAGACAGGGAGACAGAGGATCAGAGCAGGCTGTGCGCTGACAGCACAGAGCCCAAGGAGGGACTCAGACTCACAAACTGTGAGATCGTGATCTGAGCCGAAGTTGGACGTTTAACCAACTGAGCCACCCAGGCGCCCCAAAGAAATCTTTGTTTAACTTGATGCCCTCAAAATAATGATTCTGTAATACATGTGACATCTTCAACCTATCTGGAACTTCCCAAGTGCAGCAATAATTTAACTTGTTTAATAATTACTGATTGATTAGGAGGATAAACAGAGTTCACTGTTTTAGGAGCATTAATTGGTGTTCAGTTCGAACATTTAGGAAGAGTAAGTTCCAGAGACCACATAGGAAATAACTCAATATCTTACTGAAGCAAACAGGAAACAAATTTCCTATCATTTACTTTGCCTACTAATATACTTTTGGAAATGTGGCCTGGGTGAAGTAAGTCGGTCCTTATTAGTTGCCAGTTCTGTACTTCTGAATTATCTTATTTGCTAAAATTTATTTTTAATCCCAAAATCAGTGCCCCTAGTGCTTTCACGGTCATTTGCAGACACAACACAGCAGCAAAAAAATTTGAGTCACCCCAACACAGACATTTCCAGCTGAAGTTGCATAAGGCAATGCTCTTGTTTCAGCTCCCATTCTGTAAACAAGTGCTTTTTTTGTGGTCTATTTAGTGTCACATTTTTTACATTTTTGTGCTTTTTATTGGTGGTTTCACTTTTCTAAATGGCCCTCAGGCATATTGCAAAGTGCTGCCTAGTGTTTTGAAGTGCCAGGAGACTCTGATGTACCTCACAGAGAAAATACGTGTGGTTAGATAAGCTTTATTCAGGCATGAGTTATAGTGCTGTTGGCTATGAATTTAATGTTAATGAATCAATAATATATATTAAATAAAGTGTCTTTAAACTCATAAGGGCAAGAACAGGGACACTGGGCTGGCTCAGTTGGTAGAGCATGCAACTCTTGATCTCAGGGTAATGAGTTTGAGCCCCATTTTGGGTATAGAACTTAAAAGGGGGAGGCAGAAGACACGAGCAGACATTTCTCCAAAGAAGACATACAGATGGCAAACAGACACATGAAAAGATGCCCCGTATCACTCATCATCAGAGAAATGCAAATCAAAACCATAATGACATATCACCTCACACCTGTCAGATTAGCTAAACTAAAAAATACAAGAAACAACAAATGTTGGCAATGATACAGAGGAAAAGGAACACTCGTGCACTGTTGGGGGGAATAAAAACTATTGCAGCCAGTGTGGAAAACAATATATGGAGATTCCTCAAAAATTAAAAATAGAATTATCATGCAATCCAGTAATTCCACTACTGGGTATTTACCCAAAGAATACAAAAACACTAATTCAAAAAGATATATCGACCCCTATGTTTATTGCAGCATTATTTACACTAGGCAAGATATGGCGGCAACCCATATATATATGTGTATATATACATATACACACCACATCTTCCTTATCCATTCATCTATC